ATCGTCGATTTGGGCGTGTGATGCCCCCAATTACTGATAGTGTTCCCCGATTTGATGTGTCGGGTTCCATTTGATTACAGTAATTTTCATTATCCGGCTAACACGCACAAATTAAATTTCCCTTTTTATTCTTATTTATTATTTACAAGAAAGGCGTGTTATCTATATGAAACGTAAAATAGGATGCAAAGACATATGAGAAATTTAACGAATATCATTCTCATTGATTTTTGTTTAGAGAATATTCTTTGCATACTATTATATGTGCCTTCCATTTCTAATGAATCTGTGCTAATGTACTATCCTAGAAGATGCATGATATTTATTTTCTGCCTAAATTTTATCATGTTTTTGGCTAAGGGTTATGATGCATGAATTTTTGCTATATTTTTATTTGTTTTTATTTGTTTTTTTTAAATAAACTATCCTATTTGATGCTTTGAGTTAGGGTATACAAAAGAGCGTTAATTTTTTTTATTTATTGATATTTGTTTGTTTGTCTATAATTCCTTTCTATTTGAAATGAATAGAGAGAGAACACAACAAATGTAACACACATATGCTCAAACAAATGTACACCCGCGAAAAATCACGTTTAAATTCTTGGTTTGTGGTCCCTACAAGAAAAGTGCATTCTATAGGATAGTTCTAATCTCACTGGTCTTAAGGCCCCTAAGGTGCCCCCATTATAGGGACCCGGTATCTCTATCGCCGTCACCTGACAAACTCTAAGGTCTGTCGCAGTATTTCAAGCTAGAGTAACCGGTTATCACCTTGAGTGTGATTTCCGACAAGGCTCGTAGGCTCCAAGGCCAAACTTGGGCCGGTCGTACGTCAACCACTCCCTATGTTTAATACCCTCATGCCCCCGGGTGTAGGGGGAACTGTTGTGTGCAAAGGTTTGTGTACAATTTTATTTCAAACAGGTGTGGAATTTAAATAAGCAAACAGATATCAAAGCCAAACAAAGAAACAAACAAGGTAAAGGGGAAAAAATATTTAAATTATTATTTTTTATTTTATTAACTTCATCAATTAAATGGGCCTGACCCTCTTTAAACGTCCCCAGTGGAGTCGCCATCTGTCGCAACCCGAAAATTTCCGATCTTGCGACTAATGGTTTAGACATCCTTTTAAAAGTCTCATCAATTAAGGAATGTCTGGACACCAGACTAATCCTAGTTCATGGAGTCGCCACCAATATTTTACTTAAAACATTGGAAAAAGAAAAGAATTTTCAAAATCCAATAATGGCCTTGATAACCAGAATTGGGTTCGGGGGTCGGTTACGTGTAAGGAAGGTATTAAGCACCCTTACAACGCCCTAAATCGGTACCCTATGATGAAGTTAATGCGATAAGAAATAATAAATTAAATATTATATCCCCTTTTATTGATGATTATTTACATGATTTAAAATTTAAATTAA